AAGAAGTGGTGGATATAGTGAATTGCTCTTGGATGATAAGAGTAAGTGGAGTTGGGGGATTACATCACCTCCGAACCACTATAAATTGCCTTGTGTCATTTACTGCTTTATTTACTTACTGCTTATCACGTTGATACACTTCACACAATCACACAACTCGTATTTATTTATTCTGTTGCGTACAAGACTCTAACAATCTAGTTAAGAGTCTTGATATCTCTATCGCCTCAACAGTTGTTGTATTCGCGAAAAAGGTTTAAAAGTCTATTCACCCCCCCCCCCCCTCTAGACTTTTTCCACACCCCCTTTGGGACCAACAATTGGTATCAGAGCAGGTTGTCTATTTGGGTCAATTTGTTTCAAAGCAAGTTGTCTATTTGGGTCAACCTTGTTTCTGACTGCTAGACAGATCCATTTTACCTGTGTGTGATTGAATTATATTATTCTTTTCTCACGAGAAGATGAATAAAGATTTGGCACAGAATTTATTATTCTCACTTGATAAATTTGATGATTGAAAAATTCGTATGCTGGTTCATTTATCGGCCTTACACGATGAAATGTGGAAAGTCATTTCTAATGGACCGATTGAAATATTGAAAGTCAACACGGCATTTCTTCTATCATCCGATGATCAACAATATGTACCAAAGCCAAAATCGGAATGGTCATCACACGATAGAAAAAGAAATAATCTTGATAACATTGCCAAAGATATTCTATTCAAAACCGTTGATGATACAATATTTCCAAAAATTCGAAAATCCACAACCGCGAAAGAAATTTGGGATGCTCTCATCAAGATCGGTGAAGGCGATGAACAAGAAAAAGACAACAAGCTCACGATAGCCATGAAGAAGTTCGAAGATTTCAAAATGCTACCAAATGAAAGCATTGCTGATATGGAAGCAAGAATGATCAAAATTCTTGGAGAGATTAATGATCTTGGCAAAGAGATTAGCCAAAAAGAAATTAATCTCAACATTCTACGAGGCTTACCATCCGCATGGGACATGAAGGTTACGGCTATGCGAGATCACCGAGATCTAAGAACGTTGTCAACCGACAAATTGTTTAGTGATCTTAAAGCATATGAGTTCGAAATGAATGCCAAAAATGATGACGATTATGAAGTTCGAAATCCAGCTCTAATGGCCGAAACCGTCAACCTCCAGGTCAGTAGATAATATTGATTTTATGACTGATGAACAATTTGCTCTTTTTGTTAAGAAATTTAGGAAATTCATGCGAAAAGGAGACAACAAATATTCATCACGAAGAAATCAAAATTTCTCTCGTGGAAACCAAAGTGTCGCATGGAAGCCAAATGAAGAAAAAGTTGATGAAATGAACGATCTATGCTACAACTGCCGCAAACCCGGACATTTTAAAATAAATTATCCGCATCCGATCGTTAGCAAATATCAAGGCAAAAACGTTTAATCTACACCGAATAAATTCGACAACAAAGATCGAAGATTCAAACGTGACAAAAGAAAGGCTCTCATGAGCAATGGGCCGAATGAAGATGATGACTCAGATGAATCATCAAGCGATGAAAGCTCAAGCTCGGATAATGATACGGCGCTAGTATGCAAATCAAATGAGTTGAGTACAAGTGAAGATTACCTTATGGCTCTAGGAGCAGAGGAAGAAGAGGTAACATCTAATTCTTTTACTTCCGTTAGTTCTTCCTTTTCTCGTGAATCTATTGGCAATCTAATGCGAGATTGGCAAGAGATCTTAGCCACTCATTCTCAACTCAAGGAGCGCAATAATATTCTAATTCTTGAAAAAGAAGAGATGAATAAAAAATTTCAAGATGCTTTACTTGAAGTGAGTAACTTGAAGAGTGAAAATATTAATCTTCAAGAAGAGTGTAAAGCTAGAGAGGTTAGAGAACATAATCTAAGAGCTACCATTGTTACGTTTACTAATTCGTCAAAATAATGGATAAAATGGTGAACATGCAAAAGCCATCAGGAGATAAGACCGGACTTGGTTATGACTCCACATGTTCTCAAACCCCTCCAAAACTGACTAATCTTACTGCTACTTTAAATAATAATGCGCAAGTGGTAAAATTTGTGAAAAGTCAGTATAGCGCAATGAAACGAGGACTTGGCTATCAACCAAATGCAAAGATGAATACTGCTAGGCCGAACCACGTTAATTACACGGCTAAGCATTCAAAATTCATTAAGTACAAAAGATATGCCAATGAGTTAAGTGCAAAAAGACCTCATAGGAAAGAGGGAAGTTTTCCAAGGATTGGGGCTGGGAGATTATATCCCACTGAGCAAGATTGGTTGTGTGATTATAAACCATGGACCAAGTCCAGGTTTAATGCTTTTCATAGGCTAAAACAACAATATACTTCCCAGGTGCCAAAATACAAAAATAATTTTCAAAACCGAGCACCAAAAATATTTTCTAGAATCAATTATGATTATCAAGTCTCAAATGGTTACAAACCACCTTATCTTAATTCAATAAGATCTAAGTGGGTTTGGCTACCAAAAATCACTAACAACAAAGGACCCAAGCTAGAATGGGTACCTAAAAATAATTAATCTTTTTTGTAGGATACTTGGTTCATCGATAGTGGCTGCTCCCGCCACATGACGGGAAATAAATCTTATCTAGTGAATTTGAAGAAAATCGATGGACCAAAAGTGATTTTTGGAGGAAATCAAAATTATGGAATTACCAAAGGAGTTGGTACGATTGAAAGAAATGGAATAAAAATTGAAAATGTATCGTACATGGAAGGATTGAAGTTCAACTTGCTGAGTACTAGTCAATTTTGTGACAAAGGCTATCTTGTGGAATTTTACAAAGATAAGTGCCTAATCAAAAATGAGACAACAAAGGAAGTAGTACTCACTGGAGCAAGGAAGAAAAATATGTACGTTGTTGATTGGAGCATAAGCAAAGAGTCTGTATGCTTAATGGCCAGAAATTCGAATGAAGCAAAACGAGAATGGCATAGGAAGCTCAACCATCTAAACTTCAAGACAATCAATCAACTTGCACAGAAAAATCTTGTTGAAGGTTTACCAAATATTGTCTTCAAGAAGGACCAAGTGTTCGACGCATGCCAACGTGGAAAACAAATTAAATCGTCGTTCAAATCAAAGACGCAAGAGTCAACATCAAGACCGCTAAGCTTACTACATATGGACTTATTTGGACCGGTTGATCCAATAAGTGTAAGTGGTAAGAAATATACACTCGTTGTTGTTGATGATTTTTCCAGGTACACTTGGACCGTGTTTATCAAGAAGAAAAGCGAAGTTGAGCAAGTGCTATCAAAGCTATTGAAGCAACTCCAAAATGAGAAAGATATGAAGATATCAAAAATCCGAACCAATCGTGGAACCAAGTTCGTGAATAGCATGATTCAATCATTTTGCGATGCACAAGGAATTTCTCATCAATTATCTGCTGCAAGAACGCCGCAACAAAATGGCGTAGCTGAAAGAAGAAACCGGACGCTCAAAGAAGCCGCACGAGTGATGATTAGTGCATCCGGTCTCCCAAAAAGATATTGGGCGGAAGCTATCAACACTGCTTGCTACACACAAAATAGAAGCATCATTCACAAGCAGTACAAGAAGACTCCATATGAATTATACGAAGGGAGAAAACCAAATATTAATTATTTTCATATTTTTGGATGCAAATGTTTTATTCATATTAATGATAAATTGCATCTAAAAGCTTTTGATGAGCGTGTAGATGAAGGAATTTTTCTAGGATATTCGACTACCAGCAAAGCATTTAGAATATTAAACAAAAGAACAATGGTGGTTGAAGAGTCCATACACGTGGTGTTTGATGAAAAATCGCACGTCAAAAATGTTGCACTGGACGTGGAAGACATGCAAAATGGTAACAGGTGTCAAATTGATTTTGGTGATACTAATGATACGTGTGAAGATAATATTTTGCAGGGTTTAGATGAGCTGGAAACCAATTCTCTAGAAAATCCCATCTCTCATCCAGAAAGTGCATGTGGCACAATTAATTTTAATATTAATAGAGATGAGGTTGGAGACCCAGTTGGAGAGCCAATTAGAGATGAGGTTGAAGATCAACATGGAGACCAAGGAATTAATGCTGAAATTCGAACAGATCACTCCAGTTCTCAACCAGCGAACCCATCCAGTATCATGCACCCACTTGAACCAGATTTGAGATGACTCAAAAATCACCCTCCAGAATTAATTATTGGAAATGTACGCGATGGCGTGAAGATAAGATCCTCAACCATGGAAGCATTGTTCACGCGCTATTTATCTCAAATCGAACCAAAGGAAGTGGACGAAGCTTTAAACGATCCGAGTTGGATTGACGCCATGCAAGAGGAGCTTGATCAATTCAAAAGGAATGACGTTTGGGAACTTGTTCCAAGACCATGTGATCATAATGTTGTAGGAACAAAATGGATCTTCCAGAACAAAGCCAACGAAGACGGCGTAATTGTTAGGAATAAAGCAAGGCTCGTTGCAAAGGGATATTCGCAAGAAGAAGGAATAGATTTTGATGAAACCTTTGCACCCGTAGTAAGACTTGAAGCAATAAGAATTTTCCTAGCTTATTCCGCACACAAGGACTTCACCGTCTACCAAATGGACGTCAAGAGCGCATTCTTGAACAGATTACTTGAAGAAGAAGTTTATGTCGAACAACCCCCAGGTTTTGAGGTAAAAGGCGAAGGTGACAAAGTCTACAAACTTAAAAAGGTATTGTATGGGTTAAAACAAGCACCGAGAGCTTGGTATGATACCTTGTCAATGTTCTTGATAAGTTGTGGATTCACCAAAGGCCAAGTTGACAAAACTTTATTTAGAATTCAAGATGGTGAACATAGTTTATTAGTGCAAATATATGTTGATGATATTATATTTGGAAGCACTAACAATTCTTTGTGTAAGAAGTTTTCAAAGCTTATGCAGAAGAGATCTGAAATGAGCATGATGGGTGAACTAAATTACTTCTTAGGCTTACAAGTTAAACAAATGAAAGAAGGAATTTTCATCAATCAAGCCAAGTACACCCGCGACTTGATCAAGAAGTTTGGCCTTGATGGAAAATCATCAATCAAGATTCCTATGAGTACATATTGAGGCTAGACAAGGACGAAGATGGAAAAGATGTCGATCAAACGAAATATAGAGGAATGATTGGTTCACTACTATACCTCACTGCAAGCCGGCCGGACATATCTTATGCTGTGGGAGTGTGTGTAAGATTCCAAGCAAATCCAAAAGAAAGCCACCTCACCGCAACAAAGAAGATCATAAGATATCTAAAAGGAACGATCAATGTAGGATTATGGTATCCTAAAGGTACAGATTTTACTCTAACGGGTTTTTCAGATGCGGATTTTGTAGGTTGTAAAATGGACAGAAAAAGCACTTCCGGGACATGCCAATTCTTGGGGGGAAGGCTTGTTTCTTGGTTTAGCAAAAAACAAAATTCCATCGCAACTAGTACTGCCGAGGCCGAATACTTTGCTGCAGGGAGTTGTTGTGCGCAAATTTTGTGGATGAAGCAACAATTGAAAGATTACGGAGTAAATTTTGATGATGTTAGTATTTATTGTGATAATACTAGTGCAATTGCGATTACTCACCATCCGGTGCTTCACTCAAGAACCAAACACATCAACATTCGACATCACTTCATAAGGGATCATGTTGAAAAGAAAGATCTAAAAATTGAGTATATCCCTTCGGAGAACCAAGTTGCAGACATTCTCACAAAGCCTTTATAGCGAAACGAGATATGCTACCTTAAGGCATGAATTGGGAATGATCGAATTGAGCTAAGTATCATTGGACTTAATTTCCTAATTTTAATTGATACGTATGCTCAATTTAATTTATTTAGTATTGTTTGTTCATGTTTTTGTTTGAAAATTACGTGAATAATTTTGCAATATGTGTTTTTTTTTTGAAAGCCAACCAATGAATGATTGTATTAATGAATCAAAGCTGCAATGCAGTCTGGAGGGATAGAATCCCAGTACATAGCCTGATCCTGAATAAAAGCTAACGTGTGCGCATGCGCATTAATCTGCCTAGAAACATGATTAAACAAGACATAATTAAAAGACGAAGCTAAAGTCCTACACTGGTCAACTACTACTCCAACATAAGACATTATGACAGTTGTATTCTGCCGTATCGCATTTCTCAGCTGTAAACAATCTGTTTGAATCGTTACTGTTGTTATATTCTTCTCCAAAAGCCAGGATAGAGCTTCCTTACATGCTAGTGCCTCCGCCATGAATGGTGACAAACAATTCGATAGTCTCCCATTTTTCGCAATATGTGTTATCTATTTGTTTATGTATTTGTATGTGTAATTTTACGTGTAATTATGTGCCATGCAAAATAAATTTGATAAATATGCAATTTTCGGAATTTTTGAGATTAATCACATAATGGTTTAATTTGTTACTTGAGATGCAAGTAAATTTTCGTATATGTGTATTAATCTTCATGAATGATTTATTTACATGCCTAATTGCTCTTAAACTATTTTAAATTATTTGTGGCATGATAAATATTTGTTACGTAAATTGCATGTGCTATATGTGTTTAATTATTGTTTGTATTGATTTGGAAATTGCCATACGAAAAAGTTTTTCAAAAATTGGTATCAAGTTATTTTTGGTTTCTAAATTTTGTTTTTGGGAAGAAGTTACAAAATTTATTTATATACCAAAATTTCTGTGGTTTATTACCGTGTGTGCGTGTATATATATAATTATATAAATGTGTTTGTTTCCTAATTGTTTTTGGTAGCTGAATCCCAAAAGACATTTGATATCACCAAAGTGTTTAAATTTATTCTTTTTATCATGTGGATGTTATTGTTATTTAAAGAAAATTCAATTTCTGAAAGATGGAGATATTTTACATGATATTATTTATCTGATGAGAGAACTAACCTGTTTGTTCGAGAATCCACCTCCTAAACCGTCTCTCCAACCTAATCTCCTCTCAAATCTCCTCTCCCCAAATCAACTCCTAAACCTCCTCTCCTACTCAATCTCCACCTTATGTGTCCCTTCAGAAATCAATTACGTGCAAACTGTGAGCATTAAATGCTGCTGTCCAGTAATGATTGCTTTCTCTCTCTCTCTCTCTCCTGACTCACCCTCACCAAAAAGACACATCTATCCTTAAAAAGTCACATTTGAAACCCTTACACAAAAGGACTTAATCGTCCATACTCTCTCTCTCTCTCTCTCTCTCTCTCTCTCTCTCTCTCTCTCTCTCTCTCTCTCTCTCTCTCTCTCTCTCTCTCTCGTCCAACCGAGAAAAACCCTCTAAAACCCTCTTTCTCATACAAAACTCTTCATCTTCTCCACCAAAAGAAAATCACAGATCACTCAGAAAGCCTAAATCTCTCTCCCAACCGGCTCAATCACTGTCCGAATCAATCACAATGGCGCAAATAGAACAATCCAAAGATTTGACCGTGCTTGTGAAACAACTCACGGTAGGAATGGTTCTCAACGAAGAATACTTCATGAATGGAGCACAAGACAAAGTTCTAGCCGCAAAAATCATACAAGCCCTGAAAGACTGTGGGTTGTATGACTTTCTCACCTACAAGTATTCTGGAGCATTCGAAGAAGATGTAGTAGTATTCTACCTCCATGCAAACGTGAACAATGGCCGAATTCTATCTACTGTTGGCGGAACACAAGTTGAAATTTCAGAAGAAGACATCAGAAGTTGTTTCAATTTTACAAATTCTCAAATCCTGACAGATAATCATCACTATGATTTTCAAAATTTCTGGGATGAAATTCGAGGTCCAAGCGCACCAGTGATACCAAATACATGTGGTAAGAAGAAACTTTTGAAGCATGAATATGAGATGCTAGTGGATGTTATTTACAAAGCTCTGGACAACAAATTGGGAATTTTGGATAATTATTCTTCTCCATATATCTGTTTGATGAATGGAATCATGAGTGGAATCAAGTTCAATTGGGCGAACTATATTTTCACAAAAATCATAGGATTTATTCTCGCCGCAAAGCCAATTGGAAGTTCACTCGAAGGAGATCAATTTCTTCAAGGTGTAGGCTATGGACTTGTCATTGGATAAATCTTGAGGAAAAAGAAAATACCCTTGAGAAAGCACAAAAGTGTTGGAATCTACAGGTATTTATTCTGGAAGTTTTCACCAGACTATGGGAAGAAAAGTCAGAAGAGAAAGGCATCCAAAGGAGGAACCTCTGCAAGCACAAAAACACCTCAATCAAAAGGATCTCAAATCAGAAGTAACATGGCCGCATCAACTGCAAGCAATTTTATGGGGTCCAGTAATCCAGCCATCAGAGATCAAGAAGTCATGAGCACAGCCATGGCAGTTATACCGTTCCAAGAAGTGATTGAGAACGAAGCTCAAAATATGTGCCATCCGGGATTGCCAACTGAACCCATTGATGACACAACACGGATGGAACTAGCAGGAGTTGAAGTGCGAGTTTCCAATGAGCTGCAAAGAAGAATTTCAAGTCAATCAACAGGAGAAGCAAGTGCCGGACCGGTAGTGTTCAACACAATCCAAGATGATCCAAATTTGATGAACGAGAAGTACAGAGTCCAAGAATGGATAAATTGGAAAACTGAAAAATATCATTCATTCGTCCAAAAGACTACTTCAGAATTGATAGGAAGTGAAGAATTTGCCCTGGAGTGGTGTGGAACAGATTCTATACTTGAGGCACTCAAAATGAACATCGATCAAGTTTACAGATCAAAACTTGAAGAGAAAATTGCAAGAGGCAAAGTTGTTGCTGTGGCCGAAGAAAACGTAACTCAAATCTCACCGGCTCATTTGGGAAAGATCAATGAAGCTCAGCTACAGATTGCGTTGCAAAGATCTATTGTGGACACTCATCATAATCCAGGTGAACCTTCTCTTAATATTGCTGATAATCTTCTTGATGCATTAAGAGAAAGGAATGAAGAATATATTATATCTGTGTGTGCACCCATGTTAAATATTGTTGATGGTGACCAAACCACTGCTGTGATTGGTGATTTAAATTTGGTCAATACTCCTGTCACTGAAGCCGAAAGACAGACAAATAATGACCAAATTTTGAGTAATGTTGGTGGTCCACAAACCAAATTGAATGTCTTTGCCAGAGATGATATTGACGTGGTCAGAGAAGAAATAAGAGCAGATGTTGGAGATGAGATTAGAGAAGAGATTGGAGAACCAGTAATAGAAGAAGTTCTGAATGAAAATAGAGAATTAATTGGGGGGGGGGGGGACAATTAATTGAAGTGGCAGTACAAAATGTCTCTGTCAAAGCTACTACAAACTTCCAATCCCCACTAGAAGACAGACCATTGTCTGAGCAACCCATTTTCTCAAATCCTAGTTTCTCCCAAGATATTGACAATTACCAAGGAGAAGAGGAAGTCAATACAGAAGGAGAAAATCTTGAAAAAGAAGCCAGTTGTCAAAGATATACCACCATGGCCGAATCATCTGAAGGAAGAAACTTATAACTTGTGGAAACTCCAGTTCTAGCAGATTCAAGAAGGAAGTTTCTCAGATCCTTACATAATCTAAACTGGACAACACACCACCGGCCTGAAGAAGATGAAGATGATATTCTGACAACTTTGTTTGCCAAAGTATCCGAATCTAGAGATACAATTTGCCACAAGATCGGAACTACTTTGAGAGATCAAGGACATTTGGCGATGCAAGAATTTGACAACACAACGTCAAATTTCACGCAAATCTTTGAAAAGCATATATCTTTGGAGTCCAAGATCGACATAACAGAAAGCCGTTTGAAGGCTGACATCACTGCCAATTTGGTTTAAGTGATCAAAAATCTGAAGAAAGAAAAGGAGGAAGCCGAGAAGATCAACTATGAACGCCATATAAGGCAGCTGAAGGCCATACAAGATCAAGAACGAAGAATCAATCAACTTGAAATTGAGTTATCCTCTATGACTCAGAAGTTGGAAACTTTGCAGAATATTTCTGACATAGCCAATGAAGGAATCAAGATTGTGAAAGCC